AGGGTCTCCCGTAATAAACTCAATAGTTTTCCCTGCTTGGAGCCTCCCAAGACAGAGTCTGGCGAGGCAGCCCCCTGGGACCCCATGTCTCCTCTGGGAGCATCTGCAGATGTTCCGAGCTTCCCTAGACATGGGGAGCAACATCACACCACCCAGCCAGCCTGTTCCAGCTTCTCCATGTGCCCTGAGCAAGGTCCAGGTCCAGGTCCAACCCTTTCCTCCAGCAGACCTCACCCCCTGCGGTGGGGTTTAACCCCCCTTCACCATCCCCAATACTCCCCCATACTCTCTATTTTGAGCACAGGGGCTGAGAGAGGCACAAGGACATTGTGCTGTTCCCAGGCCTATCTTGTTTACATTTGATTCAATCAAGTGGTGGCCTTTTGGCCTCCCTCCAAATTAACTCCTGGGTGACCTCTGCCGTGGCCTCTCCCAGCAGCCAGCCTGCAGGGAAGCAGCCCATCAAACCTACAAACAAATACAGGACATACTGGTTGATCCAACCAGCTTCAAACACAGCTCTGTGAGCACCAGGGCATGATTTTTTGCAAGCTTCTACTCTTCATTTTGTCTTTGGTCATTCGCACCTCTGGGCCTGCTGCTTTTTTTTCCTTTACCCCCTTTTTCCTTCCAGCTAGAGCTCCGTGTTTTACTGCCTCATAAAACTTCTAAATTTTGTTCTCATCCTCCTGTAAACCCCGGGAAGAGCAACACGAGGTGATTTCACACGGGGCTTTTGCCACAGGACTTGGGTCTTTACACCAAGCACGTGAAGAAAGGCAGTGAGATCCTGCCTGGGGGGTGGGGACCAGCTGTAATGCTCCAAGAAATTCTGTGTTCCCCTCATTTCCAAGGAAATAAATCAAAGTGGGTTTCTCAGGGTCTGTGAAAGCATATTGCCTGGATTCTGATCCCCAGAGGGGTTTGGGTTGGGGTTGGTTTTTTTCTTCAAGAGCTTATATGGTAGTTAGATTTCTGGCTAGAGAGTGTGCAGTGTGATAAAAACACAGTCCCTGCACGGGGCAATAAATTACAGATTGTTTGATGTGGAAACCAAAGAACTGTCAAACTCCAGTATATCTGAAATATTCTAAATGAGCCCTTAACTCCAGAGTCTGGAAATGTACAATATGTTTCCAGGCCCTTCAGTCTTGTAAAGCTCTGTCTTCTCCTGTTAAGTTTCCTTTTATGGATTTTATTCTTCATTTTTGGTGGGTTTTCTTCCCCCTTTACTTTCAATATTACCCTCTTCCTCCTAGAGATGGTCCTGTGATAAACACCAGGATTTATCTAAGCATAAAAGGGGACCAGAACTGGGCACAGGCTTCAACAAGTAAGTGCAGTAAGGATGGGGTAGAGCATCTGCTTCACCAGTGTCAGAGCCCTGGAAACACTGCAGAGATCCCACAGTCAGTTAGGGACCAAGAGGGACATGCAGAAGGACCAAGAGCATCACATCAGCTGATCTGATACCTGCAGATCCCATCCCTGCTGCATCCTCACATCAGCACCACTCAGGTCTGCTCTTCAGAGCCTTTCTTGGGAGGAAGTTCAATAGGAGGTCACCACCATGGCCAAGAGCCTGGGGTGTGGGACATGAGACACCACAGGTTCCACCTCCATGCATATCTGTTAAAATCTGAACCTCATCCCCATCTGTCAGCTCCCTAGAATGTCTCTGTGGTGGGAGGAAAACTGAGTGACCAGAGGAAATAGCTCACCTTGCACATGACTTTTTGCCTGGAGATGCTACCAAGTCATAAAAAAAACTGAGCAAGACCTTGTGCTGACACAGAATAACCTTTCAATTTCACTAGAGTTTCACATGTGGGATGAGTGAAAACCCTTCCAGCTAGAAACAAAGCCCATCCACACTGGGAAATAAAAGTTAGGAACCAATTCCAACTCATTTTCCTGAAGGTGACCCTTGGCCTCCCAGCTGAGATAACAATGCTGATATTTATGGATGGGCTGTTCATGCCTCTGGGCACAGAGCAAAAATAACTCAAATCAAAACTTGGTGGACATCTAACAGAACTGAAAAAAAAATAAAATAAATCATAATAAACCTTCACTTCCAATATGGCAATAAAAAACCTTCTCACTCACCAACACACACAAAATAGCACCACCCACAGTCACACACTGGGGTGAAACCAAAATGGTTTGGAGACCTGAGGGGATTCATCCAGAAAGGACTGGCTTGAGACATCACACTGCTCAGGCAGTGAGCTTTGTTCATTCATTTTAGAAATGAATATCCATTCATTCATTCTTTTTAGAAATAAATCCATTTAGAAATGAACTCATTTGAGAAAAGGTGCTTTTAAGGAACCAAACTAATACAACCTGACAAACTTTTACTATCCCTTTTCTGTGGGTTAAGTCTTCTATATTCCTTTCAGTTCCTGTGGATTTTGTTCTAATGAGCAAACACCTTTCTCATTTCAACCTGCAAAAAATTGATGAGACTTTCTCATATATTCCTGCAGGCTTACCCAGATTCACTTTGAGAAGACACGAACTAATTTCCACACACTACACATTCACCAAAGGCAGGCAAGCTCAAAAATCTGGTGTAGTGCTGAAAGAACACACATTTTGCAGCAGCCTGAGCAGCCTGGAATGAATGGAAGCCAAGTCGTCAGCAAATTACAGACATTAGCAAAAAAATCTACAAGTAAAAGGAAAAGCTGTGGAACTCTTAACAAAAAAAACCCTGCACCAACTAGCAGGGCTCCTGAATCCACCCACACCCAGCTTTTTCACCCCTGCCCAGCCAGGGAGTCCCCACTGCTTCCCAGATCTGAAGCCAACACCTGAAAAACAGAACTGTAATTCATCCAGAGCTGCTCCTTCAACAGTTCCTATTCCTTGGCTCTCAGGACATATTCCAGATGTGCAGGAGAGCACAAAACTTCAACAGGCCAAGAAAATAAGTGTGATGGTGAGCTGTGACACCCCAAACCCCAATTTCAGTGATCTCTACAGTTACTTTCCCAGTATATTAGCTACTTACCATGGACTAATGACCCTCCACAGGATTAGCCAGGTTCATAACTAATCTTCACAAATCACTTCTCATTTTCTCCTGATTCTAATCTCAACCTCCTTCTTTCTCAAACGCATCTTTACAAGGGGGCTTGAGGTTTTTCCAGGTTCTTCATTTACGCTGTTTAAAGCAAAACAACCCACCTACCCTGCACATCACTTTCCAACCCAATCTTGCAAGCCAAGGAGGGGAAGAGCTTGAAGAGCCCATGGCCAAGCTGCCCACGTTCACTCCTTGATCAGTATTTTTCCCAGAGCTTCAGCTCACACAGACACTGCTGCGAACAGCTGAGCTCAGCCTGGAGATGTTTACCCAGGGTCTCTTGCTCTGCTCCTCAGCAGCCTGAACTGTTCAGCAAAGACCTAACGTGACCCAGTCTGGCAGCCAGCATTTCACAACCACTTGATGTCAGCAGTTTCAAGTACACTAATAACCAGGGTTTGTTCACTGCCACTTTCTCACCGTGAACGGCAAAAATCCCATGATCACCTGCAGGTTGAAGCCTGCCCTCCACCCCACTGAGCAGGGAAGCTGATGATGCTATTTCACCCCCTTCCCTCCTTTTAACAATGATGGGCTGCTGGCAGATGGCAGAGCTCGGAGTGGGGAGGCAGAGCTGGGCTGTGCTGCCACTGCCCACGCCAGCTCCCGCGTGCTGGGGTGCTCCTCAACACCCCTCTGCATCCCGCTCCCAGACAGCAGCTAATGAGGTGTGGGTGCAGGGGAAGGAGCAGGGGTCAGCCCGGGAGCTGCTGAGAAAACAGTCCCTGGCAGGCAGGGCAGCAGGAAAGCAGGGGTTAGCAGAAAAGTCGCCAAGCCAGCAAGTCCCGGCGGAGCAGAGCGGCCCTCCCAGCCCACCCGGCCAGCAAAGCTGGGCTTAACCCTGGGAACACCCTGCTGCCCACAGCATCGTGCCAGAGCAGCTTGGAACAAGGTCCTCTCTGCTAAGAGCTCTCCTGGGAGAGACCAGGCAGCTCAGCTGTATGAACAGACAGCACTACTGCCTGAGTATTTGTCCTGCAAGGTCCCAGTGCTGTGTTTCTCTGGAAAGAACAGAGTTCCAAGCTACTAGTCTACTGAAAAACATCCCCACTACCAGTTACTCAGTGATACAGAGAGGAGAGCAGAGTCCAGAGCTGGAGCCCAGCCCAGCTGGCCTGCAGAAGGCTGCAGAAGAGCTCTAGAAGGTTAACAGTGACAAGCTGAACACCATGCAGAGGTGCCACCTAATCCCTCAGCAGCAGTGGGGCTTGTTCACAGACCTCACCTAGCCTGGCATGATGGGTAGAGACAAGATACTGCTTGTCCTGGCAAGGATGCCAGGTGTGAGACTGTGGGAAGGAAGTTCCTTCCCCAGCAGAAAGGGTCTCATCCAGCTCTCAGCTCTGCCATTTCCCCATTCAATGATATCTTGCCCCAGTAGCAACTGGGAGCAGATGAATAGGGAGGGAACTACAGCAAAGGAACAAGTGACCCTCTCTGGCAGCCACATGCAATGCCAGCAGTGCCAAAGGGGACTCTTCCAATCAGAGGGGACATCAGGCATGTAGCACATAGACCCCTGCCAGCACCTAGTGCTTGGGGGCACCATCCTTCTGGGTCTTTCTTGGTCCTCCATCACGTGGGGGCTGGATATCCACCAGCAGCACATAGCAGAGATGCATCCACGCATCCTGCCAGGCTCAGGTTGAGCCCCAAAGAGCTGCAGCACATGTGCCCTGCAGTTCCTGCTGCCCCCAGGGAGCACCAGGGCTCTGTGCATCCATCAGGACCTGCCACACGTGCCCCATCAGCCTGGCACTGCATGGGGCTGAGGTGGCACTGGCTCCACAGGCAGCTGCCAAAGCTGGAGGTGCCCAGGTTGTCTGGCTGAGCCCGAGGAAAGCGTGGGGGAGGCCAGACTGATTTGGAAACCTCCCACTCTGGAGCCATCCCTGCTGCAACAAACCTGGTTGATGTGTTTCAGCTTGTCAATAATCTGGTTGATCACTGGCTCAGGACCTTTCATCTTCAGCTCATGGTTGCCAGGCTGAGTTTTTGCTCCATTCCTTGTGATTTGGGGACTGTACCTGTGGGAGGGAGAGCAGAGGAGACCACGATGTGATGAGCTAATATAGAGGGCACCTTTAAAGTTCAGTACAAGCAAAAGAAATCCCAAGAAAAGCACTAGTCCTTTCCAAAACAGAGAGCACAAAACAGTTAATAAGGACAAAGAAAAGGCAGAAGATTCCCATAAATATTTCTGCTCTGCCTCTCCAAAGCAGCAGGATGATGTACTTGTATCACTTGAGGACAATGAAGTCCTTTCCAGTCCATTAGTAACCAAGGAAGATGTTAAACAATATACAACAGGGATAAATATTTTCACATAACTTGCACCCAAGAGTCCCAAAAAAGCTGGCTCAGAAATCCTGGCTTGCTCATGTTTGTTTAAAATAAATCTTGGCAGACCACAGAGACTCCAGTACAAGAGCAGTAGTGTTGTGCCCACAGCCAAAAAAAAAATGAGTGGGATGACCCAGATAACTGCAAGCTGATTAGCATAACATCAACCCCCCTGCAAAATAATGACTATCACTGATGTGTGATTTCAATAATAAAGAATTAAAGCATCAGAATATAATTAATGCTGCCAACACTGCTAATGGAAAATAGGTGTTGTCAAACAATCCTGATTTCAGTCTTTGATGAGATCCAGCCTTGGGGATCAAAGAAACTGCTTAGACAGAATGTATCTTGACTTGGGTGGGTGCTGGGCTCTGCACCACAGTAGCCCCACTTAGAAGAGCAGTGTGGAAGTCAGTGAGGCACCTGTAGCAAAGCAGATTAAGAGCCAGTGGAGGGATCTCCAGATGCAGCTCTGCACAGGGACTCTCTCTGAGCAGCCACCTGCAGAGCAGGATGGCCAGCCCTGTGCTCAGCTTCTTCATCAGTGATTAGGAAAGGAGTAGATATTCCCCACTGCAAAGTTTGTGGAGTGGCAAAGTTTATCAGGGTGCTAAAAATGAGGAGAAGAGGGATGGAGAGTTTGCCTTTGGAGGAAGGTGTTTCTGCACTCACAGCTGGGAAACAGCTCCTGGTGCTCAGGGTGTGAGAGAAGAGCATCTGCACCAACCTCCAGCTCAGCTGCAGGACCAGAGCAAGTGGCTGCCACAGCAGTGGCACAGAGCACTCTGGTGCCTTCTGGAGCTCTGGGTTCTTGGTGTATTGATCAAAGCCCCACTGATGGGCCCTGGCACTCTGCAAGCACAAAACAAGTCCTCATCTCCTAGAGCTGCCAGCCCAGCACAGGCACAGCCAATGGAAGAGAGATCACCCAGAGGACACCAAGCACCCACCTGCTTTCCTGGCTCTCTGGTTTTCCTGGGCTGTGAGTCCACATGATGAACACTCCTTTCAGCAATTCATCTCCTACATGTCATGTCCTTACCTGACTCCCAGCACCAGCCCTGGTGCCTCCCCCCTGCCCCACTCATCCTTCATCCTCAAGCTGCCAGGTGAGCTCAGGTGATGACAGCCCATTTCACAAAGGATTTGGGGAGGAAATGGGAATTCAGCAAGGATTTAAAGAAGGGATGGTGGGATCAGCTCAGAGAGGATGCTCTGCTGAGGGAAAAAGCAGAAGGCACACGGACCTTCAGCCACCACAGCTTTTGGGGCACACAGAGCATTTTGGGGATACACAGGGGTTGGTCTCTCTCCACCTCTACAATTAGGAATGAAACCAAGTCAGACAAATAGGGATAAAACAACAGCTCCAGATTTATGCTGGTGCAGCA